ATATATATATATATATATCCATCCCACTTTGGCAGACTTCAGTCTGTGCATGTTAGTATAGACATTGACTCTCATTCTATGCATGCTACCTGCTATGCAGGCTACACTGCAGGGCATATACAGCAACATTGTCTCTTGGTCTTGCAAAGATTGAAGTTCCTAAGAAAAGAAAAACAGATAGTGATCCCTCCTATACAAGTGAGAGCTTCCAAAGATTTCTGCAACAATGGAGTGCTAGTCATACTAATGGAATTCCTTATAAACCACAAGGAAAGGATATCGTTAAGCCTGCACATTTGACATTAAAATAGTAATTACAAAATCAGAAAGGAGAGCCAACCCATTTGGGACCCCACCTGTTTGTCAAGAGCTATGACTATTCCTCATGACTTTTCTCCAATAAATGTTTCTACTTTTAATCTCCATTGTTCCTTAGAATTTGTTCTTGAACTTCAGGGAAAATGAAGTAAAACATCTAGCTTTTCCCCAAATTGTCTTAGAGTCTCCACAAAGATCTTTGTTTTGGGGGGTTTTTTTGTTTGTTTGTTTCGTTTTTTTGTATTTTAGGGAAGGGTCTACAGGGTGTTAAGGGGCTCACTACTAGACTGACTCATAGTGATCCACCTGTTTACAGCCTCCCAAGAGCTGGGATTACAGGCACATACCACCACACCCAGTCTCAATTGCCAGCTCAGCACCACCTGGGGGCAGGGCTGGCATGGCAGACCAGGGGATCGAATCCCCAGTCCCTGTGCCTGCTGGCAGGCGTTTTAATCTACTCAGCTGTTTGGCTGGCCCTTAACTTTGTCTTAAATGCCCAGCAGAAAAGTCAACCAAAACATGTATGAAAACAGTACAATTGTAATAAAAGCTAGATATAGAAAAGGGCTTCAATCACTGATTCCTTCTAGCAATTTCCAGCTACATCAGCAATAGACCACTGTTACACTTAGGAAAAGATTACAGTGGAACCCATAATTCTCAGCAGGAATCTTTAAATTCCTTATCTAAAATTGTCCATCAAAGCCACTGAACTCTCCATCTTCTTACCACTAAAACTAGAGAAACATGACAAGAAGGATCAGGCTTATAGATAATCCCAATTAGTAGAGGGGTTTAAGGGCCCATGGTTACAATTGCTATTCCAGTTCCTTAAAAGCAGTTTCTAGACCTGGCTCTTTTCCCAACCTGCCTTTCCATTGTAGTGCTTATGCTTTGATTATAGGTGTTTTAATTCCCTGGAAATTTTATTCATTCTTGCCTAGAGGCTGCCAAACTCCAAGTGTTCATGCAGATAAATGTTGGAACCAATATTATTGGAACCAACAATAAATGACTCCTATCTGACAAACTCCTCCTGCCAGGGTCCACTAGATCGGCCTTGTAAAGGGACTTCACAGCTGCTAAACTGCAACATGACTTCTAGCCAAGGCTAGATCTGCTCTCTGGAAAAGGCCCCTCATTGTGGTTTCCCCTACACTAATCCTTCTCATCTTGAAGCAGCTAGAAGGAACCAATATCTCTTCTCCCTTAACCACAGTTAAGGATACCTCTTTAGAAGGGAAATATTATAGATAGCTAAGTTAGGGGGAAATATTGTAGGCAGTCCAACAATTCTAGGCTCTTGGGGATGTCAGTGTAGGGAGTGCATTGAGACTATGGCTGGGGGCACTTCTGAAGAAGATGAAGTCACAACGGTTAGATGTGCATACTTTCCCTAAGGGATAAAC